ACAACTAATGAAGTAACAATAATTACTTTTAGATTAAGGCACTTTTTCCCCAAATGAGATTGAGAAGCATTTTGTGTTTTCGGGCTCAATGAGTCTCATGAAGGAACCACCTTTATTAGCAGATTAGTTCTGAAGTGGTATGTAAAAGAGCATTAGGAAGAATTCTTGGCACTCATCAGTTTATAATAGACATATTTTGCCACAGCTTTTTAAAAATTTAAATAATGGAAAAATAGTTAATGGCTAGTTTAAAACAGCACTTCTGAAAGGCGGATGCTAATGATCAAATCTCACCTCATTGGGCTAAAATAGGCGATTTAGAAAATGTTTTGCTTCAGAGTTGCTGAATCTGACTTTGAACACAGAAAAAGAAAATGTTTAGAATATAAAAAAACTGATTGAAATCCAAAAAGGGCATTACCATTTTTTTATATCTTGGACATTTATGAACTTTGTATGACTTTATTCTTAACAAAATACAAGAATACCATTCTTATAATTAACATGAGGGTAACATATCTTATCTACAACTCTTTCTTTCCTTTCTCAGGAATATGTTGAGAACACTAAGAAAAGTGGCTTGTACAAGCCTGGGGATGGACATGGACAGGAACTGAAGTCAATGGTGAGTTGGAAATGTTTTGTAGTCTTTGCATTTTGCTTTATGGAAGCTGTCAGAGTCCGGTAAAAAGCAAACCGCTCCTTGTGAAATTTAAACAAAAAAAACACATTAGCAAGTAAATAAGTTGAACACACTGTGTATGTGATTGTAATACTTTTGAGTTTTGTGGGTTAAAAGTGAGTTAATATTTCTTTTTAAAAATGTCTTACAGGCACGTGGAGGGACTTCTGCTTGACCAAGCATCAGAAAGACAGCAAAAAAACACAAAAAAATATGCCAAATATTAACTCAGAGATAACCAGCTTACCACTCCAGGGACAACAATAAGATAATAATAATCTTTAAAAAGAAGCTACACAGAGCAAAAGCTGCATTGGGTTTTATTGAATTGTATATGATAGCATAATAAGTTTGACACTAATGGCTATAATGTTAAAGCTCTTTTAGGTGTGTGTTATTAGATAGGTTTGCTTCACAATGCAATGTTTCCCTATAACAGAGTTTTTGTTTTTATAAGATTCGAATGATATGAGCGATTTGACATGGTTTAACATGTTTGTTTTTCTTCGTGACATAATTCATGTCAGCCTTAGTTTGAGTGGTTTGGTGTACATTTTGAAATGAATAGCTAACTGTGTTTTGTCAAAGGCTATTAAAGTTGTTTTAACTTCTCAATTTTATACATTAAACAAAAAACAAAAGTGTGTTGTTTGATCTTATGTCCATATCTTTAAAACCCTGCATAAGTCTAACATAGTTATCCTGGCAATTATACAATGAGACAGTAGGGGGCAGTTTAAACATACACATATTAAGGTTTTCATTTGAATTTGACAGCAGCTTTAACAGGGTGTGCAAATGCAATATAAGAATTATGAACAACCAATTTGATATTTTTTCAGATGGGGTTTATAATATTCTTCGGACATTTGTTGAAGCCGTCACTGACAAGTTCCTGAATCTTAAGGCCAGCTGACATAAAGTGTAAAAGGTGGGGTGCTGGACAGAAATATTTAATTGAAAGTAAATATATTGGATGTAAAGTTAAAGAGGGAAAGCTGCAGCAGAATGCATACAGTGTTAGGACTCTCCATCTGATCTGCACAATGCAGCACAGGTTCCTGAAGAGGTTACAGGTTGTGCTAACAAAATGAATGATGTCAATTTCGATTATTCTTTCATCAGAGGCTTTATTTAACCTTAACACGTTATGTTCCATTTACATCTGCTCAATATCTTTCTCAAGTTCAACACAGAAACCATTGTATTTGAGAGTTAGACAATGAAACTGTGAGGTCTAGCATACACCACCTGAGGGCAGCAAATCCTCTAAAATGAATGACCCTTCCATTGTGAATCCTCATCATGCCCTTCAAACATAATGAGAACACAATTACATTTGAACCTCATACCAGGCCTAACACGTTTATAGTTCTCTGAATCCATTTAAGCAAAAATACATTATCATCATTAATGGTTTTGCCATTTTTATTTCTCATCAGTTTTTGGAAAGGTTATTCAAGATTTCATTACCTAATTCAAATGTTATTTAAAAAAGATGAAACCTATGTAAAGCAGTTGGTTACTTCTGGGGCACTGTGTGGAAACAGTGTAGATTAAAAGTATCTGAATATCCTCCACGTATCTTCTCCAGTTTTGACTTTAGCTATACTTTTTGCAGGTATGTCAAACATACTTTCTGCAAACATATCTTGCAAATGTATGTTATCTCCATGTACAAAGGTAGTAAGATATTTGTTTACATCTTAAGTATTGAACAACCTATTATAATAGGTAAATACAAAATAAATGAAATGTATGATTATTTGTTTTCCCTCCTAGAATTTAAAAGTGTACAAGTACAATTGGAAGGTTACATTTATGAAGGTAGACTGACCGACCATAAATCTGAAACCCCATGTGTATCCACAATCTACTGATGTATAGATTACGGCCTCATCCCCGTTCCTTTCCAATCCACCATTGACCAGGCAACAATTAAGCCTCTAAGCGCTTAGAGGTTATTGATGTGAAAGCTCTCTGCTCACTGCTGTCCGCCTCCATAAAACACAGGAATCCAGAGGGAAACAGCTCGATGGCTAGTAGTGAGTCACACCTAAGTGATCTCAGTAGTACTTACAGAACGCTAACCATTCCTGGAAGCCTTTTGTCATTGAATAGAAAGACAGGAAAACACATTCTGCTGGAGGCCACCTCAGCAGCAAGCAGCAATATCTGACAGCCTGAATGTTCATAAATATATTTGATTGTTTCACTTGAGTAATCATGATGGTGATTATGTTCAATTGTTGTTGGGCACAAAGCAGGCTTGGACATGTGTGTGGGTTAAAGGAATGTATTGAACCTCCTAATACAGAGATCAGATTTATTTAATTATACCGAATTTTGGACACTTTTTAATATCATAACACATGACATCATATATAAATAAAATGCAGGCACGCTGATTCAAGATTTTAGAATGCATTTCAAATTAATCATATATACTTGTTTTCCCTTTTGCCCTTGTTTTCAAACCTATTTTAACACATTCTGAAGAAAGTGCATTTTATGTATTCACATTGCATCGCAGGCACTGTATATCATCCTTTATAGTTCTCTGCACAAGCAGTATATTAAATAATCATTTGGTTTTTGAAAACAGCTATAAAGCCTTGATTCCACTGGTAAATAGTTTACAACCATTAAACCTGCCCCGTCCCATATGGATGTCTATTGTTTGCGCTGACTCAGGTGCTGTAACATGAGCCTGCTAAGTGTATGTGTGTTTGTGTCGGAGAGTATTGACCAAACAGTGACTTCACCATTAAGATGAGCCATTCTGCCCCCTCAGCAGCTTAGCTCTGGAAGATCAGTCCTTTTCAACGGTGCTTAGTTTTAGTACACAAACAAGAATTCAACGATGAAAAGAGCTCACAGTGGAGCTATAGACATGCAAACAGAGAGTAAACCTTTTATAACAATAGGACGAAATTACTGTAAACATATTTATTAGAATAGGGGGATAAGTAGGAACATACCCATATGCCGTATGTCTTACAAAAATATATGCTATTTTCCCATGATAAGGCAAAGGGACATTAAAACACAATATTGAAAACACCAAAGCTAAGGATCAAAGATAATTATTGTTTAATAAGGTCTTTAAGTGCTCATTGCAAACTCTACTTGCTGATGAAAATAATAATCTGAATAATAAGTGTAAATCTAAGCACTACATGGACATTGTTGTTTGCATTGTTCCATATACATATATGAGGTCTAATAACACAAATTAAGTAGGTGATCACACCTTATAAAGTAAAAGTAACTCATCATACACCAGAGAGTGGAAGCGATAAGAAGAACTTGCGTCACAGACTATTGGTTATCCAAGAAACCTGATTTCCGAGCATCATAAGTGCTTCCTGCAATTTGAGGCATTTCCCATCACACTCAGTCATACTGTCTCCCCTTTTTATTGTTGGACAGCTTCCAACAACAGGCTGCACTGTGTGGAAATTAGCCACACGAGATGGTATCGCTTCACATTTCTTTGGTACGCACAGTCGGAGGAAATGTGCGTGAACATGAACCTTACATATTTACCCAGTGACTTCCCTGTCTGGCTGCTGCTGACCATTCCTGTTGCCAACACACACACACACACACACACACACACACACACACACACACACACACACACACACACACACACACACACACACACACACACACACACACACACACAGTGTGTGACTTCCTGCTACCTGTTTACAGCAAGAAAAGGGACATTTTTTTCTAGGTCAGTAAATGTGTCTTTGTCCTGTACTAATTCATTTAGTGTATTCTTTTTTTCTCTAAATATGTTTACATGTGCTTCTCTGTGCTGCATGTTTAACTGCATGTATGGTGTGGGTGTGGTGGTGACTCATAAAATATTCACCTGTTCTCCTACATAATGCAGTAATGTTCCTGCACACAGAACTCTTTGCCTACAAAAAAGCAGTTATAAACTCCTGACTGTCAGCCTTCTCTCCTTTTAAATTAACTCTGAATGTTGATGCAAACTTTGAACTTCCACTCATGACAGGTGTTGTGTCATTTAATCTAGGAATTCTCACACCTCAATAGCAGCTGCACACCCTAAGAAAATGAGAAATGATGAACTCGTGCTTTCTCAGTTCCTACAAATTTACATTGGTAACTTTTTATATCAAATATCCTCAGTTTTTAGACCAGGATTTTTCTCAAATGTAGCCCATAAATACAGAACTGAAACAAAACATGGAACTGAAATTTCACAAAATAGGGAAACAAGAGTTTGCTGCATGCATTCAGTCTGTCCGCAAAGTATTTTTCAATGATACAGTCAAGCTAACATTGGTCAATATAGCTTTTATTTCAGCAAATCATACATACACTGTAAAAAATGCATCTGTATCATAACCTTTACACTATCTGGGCTGTGATGACAGTGTTTGATTGGTTGGGAGTGGCTACAGTGTCTGAGGTCATCAAAATGATTTGCATGTCATCATTAAACTCATGAAACAGCACACTTTAAGACGGAAATGTTTTCCTGTTCCTATAAGTGAATTGAAATTCCAAGTTAAAAGGAATGAAGGGAGCAAAACAAAAATCAAAAATCTATTGGACACAGTAAGATGGCACTTTTCAGATCTTAACATGGAATTTCAACAATGGATTGATTCAAAAATGAAGCCCAAAGGCAGATTAATAATTGAAAATCAACATAGGAGCTCAGCTATTCACAGCTCTGCATAAACAGTCACAGAATACGCAAATCTGGGATCAGTTTTCAGCCCAGACAGATGAACAATATAAGTTGTCAGAGCAGATAAATTACAAATCAAGCTTTTGAAACAAAGTGAAAGCAAAACAATGAAAGGTGATCATTTTTTTTTCATATAAAGCTTTCTAAATCAAAGCTTCCTCTAGCCAGTACTAATATATAAAACATTTTCAAATCCGGCAGAATCTAAGTGTGTTTTTATGTCTTATCTGCTAAGTATATCTGTGCTTCTCTACATTCTATCAATCATGTAACAAATGAAAAGATCTGAAATATGGCCTATGTAACACTATTGTAAGAGAGACCCAAACACAAGCCATACCAAAACCCAAGTAGTATCCGAGCTTGACAGTAAAGCCACTCTTATGCAGTTTAATGGCGAGCTTAATTCAGTCCAGTAAGCATGCCTCTCCCACAATCACCACCATCTGTCCTTACCGGAAAAAGGCACACCTTACCCTTTATCCCCCAGACATTTTCTAGAGCTCTGCATGGCTCCGTGTTTTTAATACCACGCTCAAATCACATTAAGACTCATAACTGAACATTTCAAACATAATGTTTTCTTCTTCTGAGCTGTGATGAGGTTGATTTCAAGCTCAAAGACATATTAAAGGTCAACAACATGTTTCTTTTTTTAAATCACACAGATTTGTAGCTCAAGCAGTTTATAACTATGCAAGTGCAGTTTCATCTGTACACGCTTGAGGTATTTTTTTTCCCCTCAAGCACCATTATGTTTTGAGTTCCGTAAAGGTTTAGCCTCTGGATCTACAGACTGAAACAACATCACGCAGTATTAGACATGCTACGAAAAATCTGTTTCATCTTCTGTATTCATCCAACAATGGATTAGAAAAATAGATATTAATAATATTTCCCCCATTACACCACCGGCCAAGCAGTAATCTGTCTTTCCTCTTTGCTGAGCCGTTGAGATGATTTGACTTGATTTGTGTCTCTGTGAAAACAGCTAGCATGTCGGTTCTGATTGTTATCCAACTCACACTGTTTTTTTTTGTAGCCTTAATTCTCCTAATGAAGCATGTCTAACGCTTATCTTGTTTTTCCACACAGTTACAGTCACAGTTACAAATCAAGATCAAAAGAAACCTAAAGAGTGCAATATTCTCTTATCTACATCATCAACATCCCACCTATACACAGGAACATTTGATAAGGAGCAATTGGGTGGGGGGCTGGGGGGGGGGCAGGATGAAGGAATAAAAAAGGGAAAATCTCTTTAACAATGCGCCTCAAGCATCAACACACTCAGGCATTAGAGTGCTGCACAAGGACAGGACACACTAGAAGACACAGACTGTCCAATGAAGGGAGAGGTCTTTGCACATGTGACCAAATCCAAAGGATTGGATTGGCTGTTGATAAAGTCCTTGTCATGTTCTCTGGTTTGCTGACACACAAGTGAACAAGTGTCATTAACCAATCATATTTTATACTTAGAGAAAAAGAGAAATGATAAACGTTTGCCAGGAATATTGTTTTTTTGTCTTTTCTTTTAACTTATGAACAAACAATACACAGAGAGTAGTCCATAGGCTGTTAGTACGATTAAGTATCTGCCTGGGGAGTCACCTAGAAACGTGCAGTTTGACCAAACAAACAGTTTTCTCTTTTATCTTTTTTTGTTTTAGTTTTTTGAAATTACGACAGATATTCGTCGTTGTCATCGTCGTCATCCTCATCTTCGTCGTCCTCATTGTCCATCCCGGTCTGGTATTCGAGGACAAGGGAATCTTCATCATCATCGGTGAACAGTGAGTCTCCGCTGCCCAGGTCGCCAGAAGACTCCAAAATCACGCCTAGGAGTAGTTATTAGTTAGTAAAAAAAAAAGTTACTATGAGAAGATTCAAAACACTTTTATATCTGCACTTTGAATATGAGCCAGTAGGTTTAGCTTAGCATAAAGCAGCCTCACATTAAGGACGAGGTTCACTTAGAATTCCCAGGCCAAGAAATACATAAACACGGATGGTAGGTGGATTTTGTTCCATTCTTTACGCTAAGATAAACTCACTGGCTGCTGACAGTAGCTTCAATATGAACAGACTGATATGAGAGTGATATCAATCTAACTCTCTGCAATCAAGCAAATAAATATAATCTGATCCAACAACAGTTTATGCAATAAATACACAGTGCTAAGTGGCAGATTTCAGAAGTTAGAAAATGGTGTTGACATAAAGTATTTCCTCCGTGATGCCTTCACTGCTAATCCTACCGTCTGGCTTTGTTCTCTCACACAAGCCCAGAAATATGACACTGTACTTTCCTCAGAGTTTTGCCTACCGCAGTTTGCAGGGCCATGGATGCGTGAGCTGGCCACCTCGTTGCCATAGCGATCCACACACCAGCACTGGCCGCTGCTGCTGTGACACTGGTGGGACCTGTAGTAACCCTCCTCATCGCAGGATGGCAGGTACTGACCTACACATTCACACCACCAGTTAGGGTAACCCACAGTCTGTGTTGCTAGGGCTTCTGTGTGTGTTTCAGTGTGTGTGTCTTACCAAGCAGTTTCTTCCCAGCTTGCTTTTTGTTGATGCTGGACAGCTCTGCTTTACAAGGGGAATCTGAAAAAGAGAGACACAGGACGCTGGTTACAAACTGCAGAAGTCTGCTTTTCCAGGAACGCATCTGTTTGAGTGAACGTTTTCTCCCTTTGAGATACTCTGCCTTTGTCCTGAAGTTTGTTTTCCTGCTGCCTAAGCTTTTACAAGTGCAGCCTAGTGATTCATCTATGAATACATTTTATGACCAAAAACCATCATCTTCGTCTTATCCAATTGCATTCTAACACAATATATTAGAATGTTTGTGTTCCGAATATATTAAATTGCTTCAAGGGAAAGTAAGCCGTTCTGATTGAATGGAAGATCTCTGTAATATTTATATCCATTGAAGAAAAGCTTTGTCTCATTAAAACTTGGGTCCTTGTCTTTTGTTTGTTTTGGCCTTCACTTCGTTTGGTTATCAAAACAATGTAACTGAGTTACTGCTGCAATGGTAAACAAGAAGTATGAAAGGGCAAAAGACATGAGACAATCAGACAGGCAAAACGGCCAAACGAAGGCTAATTACTTTAAAATATTTCATTTGGAGTTCAAACTAAATCCTTTATTGCACAGACAGTGTGTCTGCAAAATTGCGATCATTATAGTAGGTGTAGGAGCCAATTAACACTGTGGGTATAAAGGTAGGAACCTATGTTTGTGGTTAGAGGTTCCGCTGGAAGGCCATACAGCTTTTGACCACACACGGAACACACACGGAGAACACACACATATAGAGCACACACACAAACAAGAGATTACAAACATTTGCAAAAGGTACTGTGTGAACCTTAATATTGTGTATTGTGAATGAAAAAATGAAGCAAGTTGAATGGACACAAGTGAACAGGAAATAAATGGACTGTATTTAACTGGAAACTTTGTATGAAACTTTGTGTGCGTCAATTACGCCAACATAGCGGATCCTCAGAGGCTTAAAGCATTGGCTTAGCCTCTACAGTAGGTCTTAGACAAACCTGAAAATCAGTCAATTGTAATGGATGTTCACAATGGAGAGATACACATTGGTTAAGTGGGTCATACTTTTTATTTGTTTTTTCTTTTGTCTTTGTCATTTTCTAAATAGGGTTTGGCTTACTTGGGGTTTTATTTAAGGCCTGTATCGTTGTCTGCTCATGTTACCTGTATTTTGTTATCCAAAAAAGAAAGTAGGACCAAATATTTGGATAAAATGAGAACTTCACTTTCCATGTTTACATCACAAGAGACAGAAGCTGAATCTGTATTTGCATGTTTCTCCAGGTTTGAATTCATTTAACTTTTAAATCGTATTTGCATGTGAGTGCTTGGAGCTGCCGTACCTGTGAACCTCTGGAAGCACGTGCACCACTCAGAGCTGGTTATAACTTTGTTGGCATGTGTATCGCAGGATTTGAAGAAGGCGTCAGAGCACGGCTCATTCCTGTCCAGGTAGAGGCTCTTAATCTCCGATTGGTCCAGCTGGACGTCAAAGTTTGTGTCCAGTCGGGAGAACATCCAGCCCAGAGGGTCCTTACAAATAGGGGAAGCCCCGACCTCGAACTCTGCGGGGGAAATGTTACAAAATAAGAGAGTGTAGATGCAGCCAGGTATCTCATGGATTATCGGATTTCCTCTCATTTCTCTCTCTTTCTTAGTGCCACTTCACTTACTGTTCTTCTCTGGCTTCTGGATCTTGACTCTCTTAGGCATGCCATTCTCATGCAGCACTCTGAACCAGTCTCTCAGACGACTCACCACCTCCTTCAGGTCCGACTCACTGCACACTGAGAAACAATAACACTCATTATTAATAATGATTAATTTATGTTTTTTGTACCTATAAGTCATGTTCAAATACAGTACATAATAAACTTGTAGGGATTCAGTATCAATTTATCAGGACAGAAGGGCTTCAGCGTGTCTGGAAGGGGCTTTAACGTTGGCTTGGACACCAGTAAAGACTTTTTAATTGAGAAGAATTTCCTGTTTCTTCTGCAAAGTGTCCTATCTTGCAGTATGCAGTCGTGTGTGCAGAAATGTGTACCTTTCTTCTCTGCAGAGCTCTGTTCAGGCTGAGCTGGGCAAGGACACATGCCAGGACACTTCACAGCGATCTTCTTTCCTGTGATGCATGCCTGGTAGTCTAACTTACACTGAGCCGGAGCGAAAGAGACAAGGACAGATGGGACCAGACAGAAGAGGAAGTAAAATCAGGATGTGTGTCTCTTCAAGGGGAAATGAAAAAACAAGTGCTCAGATGTCTCTATTATGGGAAAGAATTAGGGTGTTGGGGTACCTTTGTGGAGTAGGAGTGGCCGTCGGTTCCACAAACAGGAGAGGGGTGAACCACAGGGCAGGGTGTGCACTTTGACCCCGGACTCTGGAACAAGCTGGCATCTTTGAAACTAGAGAGGACATTCAAAGGATTTGATTTACACACACACACTTAAAATTTGACTATGCAAATGAAAATATTTCAAACAATGCAGTTGACCTGATCTCCATCACAATGTACTGTTTATCTTTCTTTTATTCAAAACCATTTTAGTCTAAGCATTCTGCATCCACAGTTGATTTTCTTGTTCTTACATCAATTTCAGAAACGAGAATAAGGATGTATTTGTGATTATTTTGTGATTTGCTGGCAATGTTTAGTGGTAATTGTGTTGCTGGTAAGAATGGAAAATGAGGTCAGTATGACATTACTGTCCTCTGCCCAGTCTGCAGTGTCCCAGACAGACAGACAGACAGACAGACAGACAGACAGACAGACAGACAGACAGACAGACAGACAGACAGACAGACAGACAGACAGACACACAGACACACACACACACACACACACACACACACACACACACACACACACACACACACACACACACACACACACACACACACACACACACACACACACACACACACACACACACACACACACACACAGGCCCATTCATATCACTTGGCAGGATTTGTGTCCGTTGTAAGGTAGTGCCAGGACTGGGGTAATTGGACTTAACAGTATTGTCGCACAACAGTCACAAGAGAGCCAGGCAACCAGTGGACCAGCTGGAAAAAAAGAAAGCCACCCCTCTGGTGCTGTTACTTATCATGCTGCATGAATAATTGAGCAAAAAAAAAAAAAATGAGGGAGGGAGTGATACAACATTTTAATTTTGATTTGATCCTAATCCACTGGTATTTGTGTTTCATTTTTGGCGCGGATACAACTCACGTCTGTATTAAAAAGAAAGTGTGTTTGTTGGTGTGTGAGTTAGTGTGAGTGACTGTAAGCATGGTCTTACCTAACTCTCCTCTGGCTGACACAAGTGGCAGTCTTATAATCCTCAGCCACACACACCTTGTGGCGACTGCATTTTATCTTAAGACATGGGTCTTTGGCTGGATCAAGGCCTATAAAGAAAAACAAACAGAGATACAGGTTCATAAGTCCTTTCAGTGTGTAATGTTTATATGTTTGCAACCAAACCACAGTGTCTTTATTAAAACAGATTCCGAGAGAGACGAAGCCCATAAGCATAATCAGAGAGGAAATCTTCCAGGGTTACATTTTCCTCTAGTTTTCTTTTTTAAATCATAGATCAATAGTTAATTACTAAACCATGTTCTTCATTTTTCACAGGTCCACACTGTGTGCATGGGTGTACGAGATCTATGTGTGTGTTTTCATGGTTGTTGTTGGCACTGTTTCATCACATACTGGCAATTTCTCTATCACGAAGAACTGAAGCTATAATGCCATTAAGTATCCTTACAGCTAAAAACAGATGGAACTGGTAAGAGAGCCACTTCTGACCTTACTCTGCACTGAGTCTCATGGGTGCTCTTGCAGCAATCCTCTAACTGATCTGGTATCAGATCTCACAGCTAAGGGCCATATTTGGCTGAAGAGCTGATTTTAGATCTGTGTCTCAGGCTCTGTTGGTAAAGACAAACTAGCGGTTTCTAACCGCTTGTCAGCCTTCAGCCTTCAGCCTTACACCTATGGTGCAGGATCTAAATCCCTCGGCTGATCTCAGAACAGTTTCTGAATAACCTCTGGTCTAAAGAACCCCTCTGTAATCCCTGAGCAGCTTTGGCAGATTATCCTGCCTCCATCCTCCAACGCAGCTCCTAATGCTATTGTCTCCATAATGTGTGTGTGTCGATGTGTGTGTGAGATAAAGTAATAAGTGAGAGTGAATGTGTGAATGTCCTAGTTTGCCTGAATGTGTGTATGAGTGTGTTCGTTTTTGTTTTGCTGTAAAATTATATGATAAAAGACAAGGAAAATTGTTAGCTATACTGTATCAACTGGTTGTTTTGGAGAAGGGAATGAGATGTTACCCATCCTTTCCTTACTGCTACTATTAATTGCGATAGTATGTCTGCAGAGCCACTGTTTATCACAAGTCATATTGGTAACAAGTCTCCAGCAACACAATGTTTTTGAAGGTCTAAGTTAACCCGAAGAGACAACAGAGAAACTAAATGTTTTAGAAGGTCAGTCCAATGGACTAATTAAATCAGCATGGGCTCTTTTTCAGCTGAGATGTTTGCAAACATTTTCAAGATCACTTTTTGTCATTTAGTCTCCATGTTACATCGGGTTACCTTGAGCAAACATTATTTTCTTTTTGTTTCAATATGACATTTAATTTTTTCTTATAAACGGCCTTGACATAAACTGCCATTTAATGACTTTGAGGAATTCTGCTACTTATGGTGGCTTTTTACTAATGATAGGCATCACACTAACATAACAAATAAAAGTAGGCATAACTCAGTGGTATATGACATTTTAACCCTTATATATTCCTTTTTAACTTTATGTCGACATTCTCCAGAAAAACCTCCAGATACATATCCATATGCAGATACATTTTTTTAACAAAACTCTATAAATACATTTCAAAGGTTTGCTTGGCTGCGGAAGAGGTATGAATTATCTTTCTCCTTTCCAGTGTTTTCTGGTTTTATCACAAAGCCAACAGCACAAGCACTCGAGGCTCTTTTCCTCACACCCACCTTGATCGAAGGGCTTGGATGGAGTCCATGTTCCAGGCTCCTGAAACAGGGTAAAACAAAATCATAAAAAACATAGTCCAGGTGACATCTAAAGTGAATAAAACATGACAAATACAAGATTTTTGAGCAATCATACAAACCTCCACTTCCTTTAGGAGAAAGCATTACAGAGAGAAAGAAATAAGAAATACACTTTGATTATTATCATTATTATTATATATTTCTTAATGGTCAATGACATATTGATATTATGACAGCAGCTTTGTGCAAAGCAAGGGACCCGTGTGTGAGCCGATACGTGCACATAATTTCCTTAATATCAACTCATGCACATTTGTTATACCATATACACATACAATGAAGTCAGAACATCACATCAACAAAACAGGCAGAGCTGTTTAAAAATGTGAAAGGAATATTAAACTTGAATATTTTGGTTTTCAATTAACTGATTATGAAAAGCTTTGAGAAAGAACATAAATGTTTTGAGCTATTTAAAGATAAGGGAAGCAAGAACATTTCATAAAATGAAATTGGGGCAATCTAAATAATGATAAGCCAGTAAGATTAGCATTACATTACACAGCAGAAAAAAATGAATATAGATTTAGCATTGTTGAATATGCATCGGATTGAGTCTTCAGTGACATCAAAGCAAACCTTTTGTCACATTTTGTAATCGATGAAGTTGTAAATGAGGCCACTGACATTGCAATTACACAATTGACCTTAAATATAAAAGTCCAATAATAAAGCAAATGTAATCAATAGTTGTTTTTTTCTCTATACTTAAAATACTGCATTGTCAAATTATAGAAAAATAATCATATTCAAATTGTTATTTCCCACATAAATTGCGTTTCCTTTCCCATAATGTTTTAAAAGTAAAGTGTTTTTTAAAACCTTGTTGGACACAGTGAAGTCAAACGGTTCAATCTGTTGCCAGTGGATGAGTTTCAACAGTCTAAATAAGGATTGCATGAAGGTGAATGATTTGCCTGCTTTTAATAGGACAAGGATGAGACACACCCAGGGGCTTCTGGTTCATGAGGCAAATGAAACGATGTTAAGAAATAGTGAGCCGTGTGCCTTTTTAACTCAGTCCTTAGATCTCATTCACTGGTTTACTCTCAATCTCCGGCATGTTCTCTCTCATTCTGTCACAACGATAACCTCTTCTGAACAAATGAATGTCTATGTGTGTGCGTGTGTGTGTGCGTGTGTGTGTGTGTGTGTGTGTGTGTGTGTGTGTGTGTGTGTGTGTGTGTGTGACTCATTAAATTCTATATGCCAGAACAAATAGGAAGGGAGGGAAAGAGGCGAGAAAAATAACATCTTATCAGCATAAATTCCACAGTGTGGCCAAGATGAGACGTGTGTGTTATCCACACAGTAAAGCCCTCTATTGTACATTTGTACATTCAATGTTGTGCAAATCTTCAGCAGGATGTTTAAAATTCAATAACAGTAAAGAGTAATATTCACACCTTGCTCCTCAACAGCAGTCAGAGATGAGTGACGCAATAGTAAAGTATAGACAGTGATCAATTATGATGCTGTAAGAAAGTGAGGAACAGTGAAAATTCCCCTTATTTCAGCTTTAAAAATGCAACAAAAAAAAATGATTGACCTACTCCTGTATAAGACACTATTGGCCTGCACAACAATTGCATTTGTAATACCAGCTGCACTACAGTAGTTAAAGGGTCTGAGTGGAGTTGAGTGAATTGGTGTGTAATGTGTATTTTTTTTTTTAAAGTTCCAGTAAAGTGTGATATACTCCACTACTTAATATTGGAGCGCATGTTTTGTTTCTGGTTTGACATATTAGCAACGCATCATGTATCTTTTTCAGGGCTGGGTGAAATGTGGTTGTTAACTTCCTGCAGGTTTTCAGTTCAGTTTTGTTAACAGGTACAATATGTTCTCTTGGACCGAGAGGCAGTTTCAGTAATGTGCAGTATGTTTCCTTTAATTTAACCCATAGAGGCAATGACAGAGTTACTGACCTTCATTATATAATATTGACGGTGTCTTTTATTTTGAAGTATATCATTGCCATTGATTCTGCAGGATTTATAATCAATACAATTTATACATTGTTCTATCAATACGTGCTGCCACATTGGAAATGTTGAATATTACACAGTAGGCTTAATCACATACAGCAGGCCTAGACTGGTTACTGTGGTCAGAAATGAGGCCTGAATATTAAGACATCTACAGTATGTGTCTGTATGTTGAGAGCATGTCTGGCCCAAACCCTTATACTTTGACACAGTTTGCCATAAGGTTAGTTATTTTTTGAAAAAGCAGAACACTCACTGAGTCAGAGAGTCTCTGTCTGTCTCACTTCCTTGCACTCTATAAGGTGAGGGTCAACTCTGGCTTTTTCTCAGCTCTAATTAAGTTATCCCTCTCGTCCGTCATTGCTGCCACATTCTGACCCTCTGTATCTCCACTATGGCCTCGCATCTGTATCACTTCTACCTCTCGACTTTCCACCTTATAAAATGGTCCCTGTTACGAAAGAGTTCAACAGTGGCCATTGGCTCTGTCTTTTTTTCTATTTAGAATTACGCACAGTACATCTTAATATAAAGAAAACATGCATACAGAAAGATTAGCAAAGATAAAGCCTAATAGAAAGGTACTTTTGTTTCTGTTTCCCTCTGGCACTGCTGACCATTGAAACTGAATAATGAGAACATTGCATTATAAGAAGCCGGGCCCTCTGGACCAGTCAAGACAACAATAGTGCTTGCGGTCTGATTCCTTAATGGAATCAACTGACGCACGCAAGCGCACACACACACACGCAAATACACCTATGCACATACATATACATGCTTACTCAGAAAATAAACTTGACTGTAGTGCCAGAATGTGTCAGCACTACAAAGCATCAAATAACTGGATGCATGCACTCCACTGCACATGCAACCAGCCACCCACTTTCCAATAACCCACAGAAAACCTCAAATTCAACAATAGGTCTAATGGCCTCCTGAGTGTGAGCTAAAAATAGCAACTTTTCAATTTATCTTTCCATCTCTTTCCACCTGCTCTCTCTCCTTGCAGTTTCAACCGTTTTTTCCTCATGTGCACAAACACACCCAGACACAATACTGTGTGTTTGTTATCTCTGTTGGCAAACATCCTAATGTGCTTGTGTGCAAACTAATACTGCTATCAAGATAAAGTGTTGCCAAACTTTATTTACATTTACATCAGATTTTCACAAATCCTCCCCATTAATTGTGTCCGAGTGGCTTCATTGGATCCTTGCTGCCTCCCGCTAACGTCCAACAGGAGAAATATGTGCATGTTTTCACTGTACTGGCTCTGCTTGTCTTGCTCAAGCTTGTCGCATGCATGCACGCACAAACACACATGAATACACACTGAGGTGCTTTGAAGTGGAAAAGGCCTCAAGCTCTGTACCTTCCCTCCGAAACACAAACTACACAGGACATCCGTGCACAGTAAAACACACAAAGAGAGACGAGAGGAGAGGACAGAAGAAGAGAGGGCAGGAGAGGATGATGATGAAAAGGAGTATTCTGATCTAATTAAGCTGGTCCAAACAATTTCCTCCTAAACTGCAATTTAGCGTCATGCTCTTCATCACATGTCGTATATTTTGTTTTTCCTTCATTTCTTACATTATAAAACCTATCTTTCTCCTCAGCTTATCTCCTGACTCAGGCAGTGGCTGTAGGCTGGCTAAAGTCCATAAAAGCTGAGCAGAAAGTCTAAAAATTCTGAGATGGCACCAGAGCTGCAAAAAAGGCCCCAGGCTCTCCAACCATCCTAACAGGACGTACAGTAAATCAGTGGCCAAGATCCTATCTAGCGCACTTAGCAGGAGACCTACTTATGACTCTCGGTGAAAGATGAAAGCTAAAGTACAAAGTACATGCCTAACATGTAAAATGTAAATCACAGTAGAGCAAAGTGTTGCATAGAATACCAGTGCATGAGTTAAAAAGAATATAGCTGTGTTGGAGGGGTTCCTGCATTTCTGGGAGACAGAAACATCTGTTTGTAAAACCATTACTTAGTTTGTGTGTAAAATCGTTCCTTAATACTCGCAAACTTCAAACTTGTGATTAACGTCAGTTGCGTTACAACATTTAAATGCAATGACATTCTTATAATGTGTTGCTAAAGGTGACATTTGTAGCTCTGCTCAATCAAAGCCATTCAACATTGTAAACAGGAAGTAGCTGCAACATCACAAGCTGCAACAAAACTTCCAAAAATAGGTGTGCGTTTGTTTTAGTTATATACACTGTGCATACATAGAACAATATGTTTCAGGATTAATCATTTCACAGTTCACAGTGAGAGGAAAATATCTGTTTAGTTTTAAATGAAATGTAAAAATAATGTAAAAAAATGCCCTGTTTTACATCTTTTCATTCAACTGTCATGTCATGATGTGTAAATCATATTAAATAACATCTTTAAATCAGCACTTAGGGGTTTTAAGTAGCAAGCTTATGGTAGCTTTGTCAATTGCTAATTTGCTATGCAGCAGTTGGGCTGAACCTGAGGGTTAGCATGGTTAAACACCAAACAGAAATATCTTAAAAAGGGCAGGTGTACAAGCTCCAGTTGTTAAAAAGTTGATATTGTAGATGCAATCAGGCAATCTACGTTTTTTCATACACTTTTTTTAGTAGGATATGCATCTCAGAAGTACATTTTGCACGTTCTACATATTCACCACCATCTCGAGCAAAGCACTGTTTAGTTTATATATGGGTATATGTTTGTACAGGGGCTATGATATTTTTAACACTGAGAACATCAGCTGCTTTCCACATGTTCACATGCAACACAAATACAAAGAGAAAGCTTAGTAAGTTTCCCAAGACTATCTGTCACTGCTTCTTCAGTTATTCAGTTGAATGAATGTGTGTACAATAATTTCCTCTTTGAAAGAATGTAGAAACACACAGTCACACACATAGAACCTGGGACACAGCACTAAGACAGGAAATGACACCTATACCTCTAATGCCTGAGCCTCAAGGTTAAAACACAGTTGTGAATGCACACACAGCCTTCAGTCCACTCTGCTCTCTGTCGTCTTTTCTTTCCAATCTCATTACCCTGTATACCTCCTTTTCAGGTATCTTTCTATCTGTACTTTTTGTTCTGTTCTAAATGAGTTAACTATCCACTCGTTGCCACACACACACACACACACACACACACACACACACACACACACACACACACACACACACACACACACACACACACAGTATGTTTCTCAAAGAGTTAAACTCATCTAACCGTAAATAGCACAGCAAATGGCCAATCATGAAACCCTATTTGCATAATCCAAAATCCTTATCAGTAGTTGAACCTGTGGTGAGTGACATGGGACCACCTGAGCCCCTGGGTTCACACGCTTACAGTAATTGAGATGGGCATTGAAAAGTGCGGGTTAAAATACATGTTACACGTTCAAAACATGAACATGTAGACCTACTCCTATCATTTAAAGGTGGCTGTGGCTCAGTGGATAGAGTGCTGAACTTCGAATCAGGGGGTAGCAAGTTCGAGTCCCACTGCAGTCAGCATGTCGTTGTGTCCCTGGGCAAGACACTTCACCCCAAATTGCTCCTGTGGGGATTGTCCACAATACTGTATGTATGTAAGTCACTTTGAAGCGTCTAACAAATGACATGTAATGTAATGTAAATTGAAAACAAGTTTGCCCTTGCTTTCGTCTACCTCTCTGAAAATCCGGAAAGCTAGTTTGCAATGCGTTGACCATGTTATTTTTTTACCATAGTTCCTGAGCAAAAAGCCTGTTTATTATAATGTATGTTTGGGTGCATTAACAGTTTGTGCATACATGCTTAATTTTAAGCTTAAAGTGTTTTTGTGAGAATGAGTGCAAGTGCAAGCATGTACAAATCATGTCTGCTAGTGTCGACCCAGTAATCTGTGGTTAGAGGCAAGATATCTTTCCAACAAATACTCCACCTGAAAAGCTTAATTACATTGTAATACTGGAAGGCACAATCAGACTTTTTTTCCTTGCATTTTACCGATTTCTGTGATTTGAGAGATTCATTTTCAAATAAAAGTAGTGATTTTCACAGTATTTTATCCATAATCTAAATCTGATGTACTATAGTGTATAAATGTGTCTCGCTACAGTAAAAATGATGTATCTTCACTAAAGGATTGATGCCCAGTGGATATAATGTACATGTGAACATCATGAATGCAGTTATTCTAAGCTGGCCAGGGTTGGTCCTAGTCACTGGAGATCTAGGACTTTATTTGAAATATTTGAATGAGTCCAAGGACAGGCGTCTATAACTACTGCACATTAAACATGCTAAAAAATATCATTATATCAAACCCAAAATAAAACACAGCTGGCCTTCTAAGGAAAAACCAACACACTATTTTAAAAACACTGTTAACAAACTCATTGTAGCCTGCAATGAATTTACAATTCATTCCACTATAGTCAAACATTTTAGGTTTTGTATTTTATGGGAACATACATATAAATGCAATACAAATGTAATTAAAAAGCCACAAAAGCCTACACTTGAATAACAACATTGTATGGCAAGCATACAATGCTCCATCCAGTTTTGAACAATCACTCCAGTCGCTCTGTATTTTGAAATAAAATCTAAACAATGAAAACTAATATCAACTGCCACTGAATGAACAAACTGGATAATGTTTAGTACTTGGACACACATGCGGGACTGTCTTATCTGGCGACACACGCTAGCATTTTGGAGAAGGGGGAGTGTCACTATTTTATCTCACTCTGTTTTTGCCACTAGCCTATCCCTTTGGCAGGTGTTAATCAGTCTCATTTAAAAAGCTCCTGTAGGCCTCATTGCTGCGGACTCCCTCGATCATACCTGCCCATAATTAGGCCCTTTTTTCGGGGACTCTAAGGTGCCTCTCGGCCAGCTAGGCTATGTGCACTTGTGTTTCACAGAGGCCTCGACTACCTCTGCAAAGCAAAGAGCTGCAATCGAGAAAAACACACTCACGGGCAACGATCATCCCAGTATCGCTAGTGTATTTACTGTCTCGGTGGCACGAGTCATGCACTTGTGACACACAACACAAACGGGCCCCGTGACGCGTCGCTTGGACACAACTAGAAAACGAGCAGCGCATGATCACAAACCAATGAGGGAGAAAAGGGGGGTGTGGGGGGGCTGTAAATTAGATAATGAGGAGGGAAACGGCGCTAATGATATAAGCCGGGAATATGACTTACATCTCTGAATTTATCCCATCTTCCGGCGAGCCACTTATCATCCAAAAAATTGCCGCTGTCGGAGCGAGCGGAGACGTGTTCGAAGGCGACGGCGCACACACACAGCAAGGCGACGCACAGCATCTGCGGAAACACAACAACAGCACGGAGAGAGGACATCCGATCAGGCTGGAGGACACCGCAATCGCGTTAAAAACAGAGGCAGTTTGATGTCCATCACACCAGCGATGAACGTCAACAGATAATAATAATAATAATAATAATAATATGATGCAGAGGTGTTCGTTCTCCTACCTTGTCGCATCAGCTGCTTTCCAGACTGTATGTGCTCGCTGCCGTTTTCTGTCACTAGTAATAACAGCTCTCTCTCTCTCTCTCTCTCTCTCTCTCTCTCTCTCTCTCTGCATCGGCTGTGTGTGCGCAGCAGAAACGGGAACGCGCATGGCACCGTGCGAGGCCCCTTCGCTCTGTCCCTCTTTTCAGCTCTGCCTCTCCTCAGTGCGGAGGAAACGGTCATGATGGCTCACTGTGGGCCACCGCAAGAGTGTCTTCCACTGATTACGACCTATGAAAAAAACTCTAGCCAATCTTATGATAACGTTTAGAAGACACATATAGAAGGTTGTAGTGTTTCACTGATGGCATGAACACTAGACAAACTAACACAAAATGATAAGGTATATAACTATTTATATCTTAACTATTATATAACTTAAAATACAATTAAAGGGTTCTTTCCTAAAATAATTAGCCTACTGTAGTGTTTATGCCCTTTACTTCTCCCATGTTTCTCCTCTGTGCCATCACATGGGAGCCGCTCCAGCTTGTTTTTACAGTAGTGATTCATGAGAGAGTTCTGCTCACATTCCTGGCAGAGGTTAGCTCAGGACTGTAAAATGATGCCACACGATGAGACAGTCTTCATAATAAATGCACCTAAATGGCTCACTCTGTAAGATTTGTGAAGATAGTCTACATATAGAACCACCCTTTAGGTATTACAAAGCCCAATATGCTTGCTCACAGTGGTTATGTGTTATTGAAGGTGTTTCAAGGAGGGAAATGTGTAGTTGCTGCTGTGGTGTTAGACCACAACAGGATGCCACAGCAACTGCTGACAATATACGGATAGATAGACAGACAACAACAATTAACGGAAAAAACTAAAAAAGTGTCAGGCCATCGAGAGGTATCAGATCCTGTTTAATATGTTTTGTTATTCTACAAGTTTCTGAACTCTACTTGAGGAATTAATAATTTCTTTCAAAGGTTATCTGGTGCTGGAGCGCTGTCCAACACGTCAGGTCAATATCATCAAAAGATGTTAAACTACATTGAAATCTGGTGACTGTAAAGCCACGTGAGTCACATTATTTTCGTAGTTGTCAAACTGTTCAGTGAGCCTTCAAGTATCTGCATTCACTGCGATGATTGTAAACTCAGTTTCTTCTGTTTTTGTTCTCCTATTTGAAATTGTAGTTGATCAAGCTAAAGCAATGGACAGAGAAGAAAATGGTGCATGCTGTTGAAATAAAACAGCATAAATCTTGCAAACATGGAGAGTGGAAGCAAGTTAGAGAGAATTAATATTATTTGAGGCTCTTCAGAGAGAAGCCTGATGGTCAGATGGGTCATGGCATTATTATGCACAGTTGCTGTAGAAACCAACCTTGACCTCAGCTTCACATCTTCATCTTCATAAGAGGCAGAGGAAAAAGTGTGTGTGTGGGCATGTGGAAAAGATGACAGGGTTCAGCTATTTGAAAGTCAAATTAGAACTATGAAGCATGCATGACTGCATAAAAGTGATGCACAAGAGTGTATCATGGGGGGGAGCGCAACTTAGGTGCAAACTGGTGAACTGCATAGGCACACAAAAGGTGAAGACAATTACAAAAAAATTGTTTTTAGTTCTATGTTCCCTCCAGCAGGAAGTGTGCAACATGTAAACAGGAAATTGGTGGTAGAGAGACACCGTTGTGGTTGGAGACACGGATCTTATTTTACACTGTCCTCTCAAAACAACACAAGGTGATCAGCTATGGAAAGATAGTTGTGTAGAAGGCATTGTAAAGGACTGCAGATGACGTGGCATTCTTTTATAGCTCTGCTAACTTGTACTTCATGACATTTCCGAAGATTGATGCAGTAAAAGAGGTGTTTTGTGTATTATGTGTGTGTCTTCCAGCCCAGGGGTTCATACATTATTCAGTCACAGACATTAAAGATGTAGATGTGGTCAGAGACATATGCAGGAGAGACACACAGAGTGCTCATGCACACACACACACAAATCCGCACAAGCATGCCCACACAGACTTCTGTTGTTGCCTAATGAAACTCTTTATAGATTTTTCATTCCACTGTAATTAGATTTTTTGTTTCTTTTTTCTCTGCTTTGAGTAAATCCAGAATCGCACAATGTTGACTTAATCTCTACAAGAGCAGAGAGAAAAGATGAGAGAGAAGAGATGGTGAAAGGAAGGAGTTTAAGAAAAATAGGACAAAAAGTCTGCCTTTGTGTGTGTGTGTTTGCGCGTGTGTGTGTGTGTGTGTGTGTGTGTGTGTGTGTGTGTGTGTGTGTGTGTGTGTGTGTGTGTGTGTGTGTGTGTGTGTGTGTGTGTGTGTGTGTGTGTGTGTTTTGTTTGTGTGTGTGTGTGTGTGTGTGTGTGTATTAGGACGGGAGAGGCATGGAGCGTGATTCAAGGAGCTGAGATTTCACAGCCCAGTGACTCTGTCACCGTGCACCTGCTCACTAAGACAGTGTGGGGGAAGAAATTAGAAAAAATAGGGAGGTGAGGCGAGGGGGTTTGGGGTGAAAGGGAGTTTAAAATCCATCACGAGAGAATTAGGGTGAGTGTATAACGAAATAATTTATTCATCAGGCTGAATTTTGAAAGACTTAACGGAATAGCTCACTGTGCACCTCATCATCGCAGTTTACTAAGTCAGTGCCACTCTCTACTATACCATACAAGAATATATATTAACATATGGCTTACATTATGATGACACTTTATATTGTTCAACATCTCTTTCCACATCAATTGGCCCTATGTCACTATACAATCCTCTACTTTTCAGGGAACATTTTCCACATGAGTTTCAAACCTGGCTAGAGACATGTACTTCCATTCAGCCACAAGAGCATCAGGAAGGTTTGACATTAAGATTGAAGTATTGCTGTTCATCCCAATAAGGTGTCTGTTCAGTTGAGGCACACAAGTTTTCACATTACCACGACACTGAAACAGACCTTTTGCATAGCAGTCATTTTGTATTTAACGCATTGGTCCTTGTTCAATAAAGACATATAAAGTATTAGTATACTCCAAGGAGACAGCAAATAGCAAGCCCTAAAACTGGCTGAACTGAACAGCCACCATTTATGTTATTAATGTTCTTTTTTTGCTTGGCATGTCAAAGGGGTCTGCCATGAAAGAGGTCTACTGGAGCAGCTAAATGCAATTCATTCAACCATCATTTAGGCGTTTCAAAAAAATATATGTGTTTTCTACTATGACATATTAAAGCTTCCTTTAAGAAAAAAGGGTCCTTGGGCACTGTATGTCAATGCATTAAGATTTCCCCAATAGAAATTATGGGGCTTCGTCCCTGAAAAGCAGTCCCAGACTAGAGGTAGATATTGCAGAAAAGGTTTCCACAAACACTTGGTCTTGAAGAAAAACTTTCCCCCTCTTGCCCTCATTCAATGTAGATCGATTTAATATACTTTAATGATATGAGTGTCAATCAAACAGTATTGCGGGAGATTAAATTACAACGTTGTAAATAATTGGTATCATAATACTAATCTCCCTGTCCCTCGCCGCCTCTGCCTTTTTCCATCATGTGAAATGAGAGGTACTGAAATAGAGAGACTCAGGTGTTCCTCGACTTCTTGCAATTACTGTTCTTTAGTGAAATGAAACATTCTGGGGTTGGTTAGATTCACCCCATTTTTAGTAACTGCTTTATGCCGTTTTAGCAAAGTGGAAAAAAACAATGTGTGTGAAGAGAATTTTCCTCTGGTGCTTAGTATGTGTAGGTGTGTACACATTGATATGTAGGTGTATGTGACTAGATTTATTTTGAACATGCTGTACATATATGTGTGTTTGAAAGAGACAGAGAGATAGATAGAGAGAGAGAGGGGAGGTGTGGGTTGTGTGTTATCTTGCAAAGCAGACGTTTTGGAGCATAGCTGTGACTACGAGGTCAGTGTGAGTCCTGTGTTTTAGCCCCAGGATGAAAAACTAATAGCAAAGTAATGACAGAGAGGGAAACTGCAAACATGAGATAAGGCCGGCAGAAACAAAATGGCCATCCCTGAGAGTCAGCAAGCAAGCGTATGAAAGGAAAAGAAACAAAAAAGGAAGAGAGAACGAGGGAGAGATTTAGAGGGTATGGGAGACAATGCAGGATGAGCGATGTAGAAAATGGATGGATGTTCTGACCCTAGACTCCTCCCTGTTAGTCACATTTAAATTACTCCCATTGAAATTTGACAAGGTGACCCTGTCTTTCTGCAACCCAAAAAGCCACTTTCATTATGATTTAGAAATAGAGAGTAATGTAGCTGCCTTTCAAAAGTGGTATGATACCTAAATGACTTTTGTAAATGCACCCAGTTGTACATTTTATATTAGTTAGCATTTACTTATTATTGCATCAGTTTGCCCTCCCCATTGGATATGTATCTACAGTCACAATTTTCCAGTTAAATGATCAACAGGATGTCTTTGATCTGCAGCTGGGCGAGCCAGAGTCACATGTAACATGTTCAGGTGGTTAATACACTCAGAGCCTTTTTGATTTGTGATCAGGAAATAAACATGCATACAATTAAGAAAAGAGTGGTAAAAAGTATGCAGATGAGAATTTCCTCACGTAGTCCCTAGAATATTATGAATGTAATGATAAGAACATACTGTATATGTATTGGTTATGGTGATGGTTCTCCCCCTTGTGGTGATCATTGCACATTACACCAAACAGAAAAGAACAGCACTTTTATTGTGAAGCTGAAACAGGACGATTTTAGTGCACAATGTAAAGTTGGGCTCCAAATCAAATTAATCCATACAAAGAGTTGTTTAACCAACAATTAATTCATTATTGGACAAACCTGATTTGCATACACTCATTAAGCAGTGTATTAGCACAAACAAATAACAAATACAACAACTAATTACTATTTTTGAGCACTTGTGTTAGTGTACTGTAGTATATGTTAAAATATGTTTCTTCTGTTTTGCCAAAGAATTATGATAAACTTCTCAATATGATCTTATGCTAAAACTGAAAAAATACATTGGAAAATGACCACTGAGTTAAAACAAAAATATTTCACTGATATTGGAAAAAACTATCATCGGATTGA